ATGTACTGTAGGCAAGTGATAGAATCATTAAAATACATATAACACTAATCCATATGTGTGGTTATGGAATATCACTCAACCAAATTGATTGGTTGTTGCTCTCGTTGAGTCCACTGGGCTACTGGCAAACCAGACCAATACTTTCATTTTCTTGCTTAAATATTTGGGTGATATTAAAGTGCTGATACCACACCTAAGTTTTAGTTCTTAGCTCCTCAGCTCTAATTTGGAAATATGAATGTTTTACTACAAAACCTTTTTCTCAAATTGTGCAAGACTTGTTTTCTTAACACAAGAAGCCACAGAAAACATTTTTCCTGAACATAATGCATTCTAAAACTGGCAAAATCTTGACTTAAATTGAGAAATAATGGCTTTGTGTATGTGTGCAACCGCAATCTTTCTTGCCTAAGCTTTAGGGATTACAAGGGGAAACTGTATGTAACCTTAACTAACTTGCGTGGGCCTCATTTTGTCATTTGACAATACCGTCTGTCCTCTCTGCAGGAAAGATGCTGTCCCTGTCTCGTGCTGTAGTGTGCGGGGTGGCACGAGCCCCAGCTGCTGTCAGTCAAGGCGGAGTGACTGCTATTACTCGATTTAACAGCACAGCGCAGGTACCTGGCCTTTATTCATTTGAAACTAAAATAAATTAATTACATGGTAGCTTTAATTATCATTCACACCCGATGCCTTTGCTTCATTTTTCCAGAGTGCTCCCAAGAAAACAACGTATGGACCGCTGGCAGATGAGGACAGAATTTTCACAAACCTTTATGGTCGTCACGACTGGAGGTAACACCACTGATGTTATTCTCATGTCCTCTGTACAATCTAAAACATATTGTACACGTGGATTTTTTTGATTCTCTTATACAATGCAACAGAGCAGTAAAAGCAAAAGAATAATTCCAGTTATGCAGGTTCTTAACCTGACAAGAATCTTTTGAAGGTTCAAACTTTATCAACAATGTTTGTAGCACAGAACACTGTCCTCACCTACACATATTTGTGTTTCAGGCTGAAGGGGGCTTTGAAGCGTGGTGACTGGTACAAAACTAAGGAGATCCTTCTAAAGGGAGTTGACTGGATCCTCAATGAGATCAAGGTATCTGGGCTGCGTGGGAGGGGCGGAGCTGGTTTCCCTACTGGCATGAAGTGGAGCTTCATGAACAAGCCTAGCGATGGCAGGTCAGTGAGAAGAGTGATAGATGCACGCACATTTCCTTCGTTTTTTTTGCTTGATGTTGTCATGTCATTTGAGGAACCACTGAGGTCTGAGTATGCAATTATTATTACATTAATTCAAATTGTATCTTACAATCCCAATTTCTTGAAAGAGCATGAAAGAAGAAAATTTACAAGTGCAGCTTTAAAACAAGCCAACAGTGAAATCTTGGCCAAACAGATAAAAAGTTTAGACTTTGGACTTATCAAATACAGCGGCTGATTTTGGAAAAAAATGACCCTATTTAACTCACTTCTAATTTTCTTCTTTACTGTAGGCCAAAGTATCTGGTGGTGAATGCAGATGAGGGTGAGCCTGGCACCTGTAAGGACAGGGAGATCATGAGGAACGACCCTCACAAGCTGGTGGAGGGCTGTCTGGTGGCTGGGAAGGCCATGGGGGCGCGTGCTGCTTATATCTATATCAGAGGAGAGTTTTACAATGAATCATCCAACCTGCAGGTAAAAATGGAGTGAATCCTAAGATTTAAAAACCTTTTAATTACAGAGATTAAATAATTTTACTGAACATTTCTCAAGGAAATTCCAAATCAACTTTTGGAGAAAGAAGATAAAAAAAATACCATTTTGCTTTACACTATTCAATATTTCTAAATACACTCTATTGAATTTTGTAAGTACAAGTCTAAGGGCTCAGTCTTTTCCAGAATGGCAAGAATTGGAAGATAATAATTCAATATTGGATCTTTATTCTTTTTTACATTTACAGGTTAAGCTAGGTTAAGTAACAGACACACCTCTTCGTATAATGCAAAGGACCATCAATGCTCAAATCTGCATACCTTAATTCTGTTACACGTAATATAACTATGACCTTATTCAGATTCAGATAAACTAAAGATTCTATATACATCATGGCAATGGCTTAATTTCAACACAGTGCAGGCGTAAGACAGTTTATTTCCAACACAAGGTATGATTGCACAGTAAAATATAATTCATCCTGTTGAAGTGTTATATTTTCAATATCTGTCCTTAGGTTGCTATCAATGAGGCCTACGCTGCTGGCCTGATTGGAAAGGACGCCTGTGGCTCTGGTTATGACTTTGATGTGTTTGTGATGCGTGGAGCTGGAGCATACATCTGTGGAGAGGAGACCGCTCTTATTGAGTCCCTGGAGGGAAAGCAAGGGAAGCCCCGCCTGAAGCCCCCATTTCCTGCTGACGTTGGTGAGTGGAAAGAGGAGATTGGGGGGGGGAGTACTGATCTTATTCGTCCTTTGCTTGTATCCCCTACTGCATTTTCACACTTGCAACATTTTCTTCAACCTACCAGTAATTACAGTCTATTCCACTTTTCCTACTATTTTACAGGTGTGTTTGGTTGCCCGACAACTGTTGCCAATGTGGAGACGGTATCCGTGGCACCCACCATCTGTCGCCGTGGAGGCTCATGGTTTCTGGGATTTGGCAGAGAGAGGAACTCTGGCACAAAGCTCTTCAATATCTCTGGCCATGTTAACCACCCCTGCACTGTGGAGGAGGAGATGTCTATCCCTCTGAAAGACCTCATCGAGAGGCATGCAGGTACATGACACCAATATTGTAATGAGCCTACTTGACTCATTAATTGAGACAACCTTTTGGAGTTAATAATAACAACTTGGGTTTCAAACTGGGGGATAGAGTGAGATGTTTGTGATGTTTTTATCATGTTATGGGATTTTGTGATTGCAAAAAATTTTCTTGTGAATTAACAAAGTGAATCTGGGGTAAAGGGACACCTACACACATTATTTGTCTGTCTGCATGTGTTTCCCTGCGGAGGAGGGAGGTCATGGACTGAAAAAATTAAGATAGCTTAACATATGCACAGCCTAAGTGAATGTTTTTTTTTGTTTTTTTTTTACTTAATTGAAACAAACATCTGTCCTGTAGGTGGAGTTCGTGGTGGGTGGGACAACCTGCTGGCTGTAATCCCCGGTGGCTCCTCAACACCCCTCATTCCTAAGAGTGTGTGTGAAGAGGTGCTGATGGACTTTGACGGCCTCATTCAAGCTCAGACTGGACTGGGCACAGCTGCTCTTATCGTTATGGACAAATCGGTAAGTTTGCCCCCCTTGCAGCGTAATTTATCATGCATAAAGAAAATAGCAAACATCATTGGTCACATTTGTGTACGTATTGTTTTTGCAGACTGACATTATCAGAGCCATTGCACGCCTGATTGAGTTCTACAAACATGAGAGCTGTGGCCAGTGCACACCATGCAGAGAAGGTAAAGGCTGCTTGAGTATCACTTTATGCAAAGATCATTCTAACCTTAATGCTTCACACACTGGGTCTCAGTCAGGGTCTTTCAATGTCTCGCAATGTCTCTAACAAATTTCAAAATTCTTTTTTTTTTTTTTTCTCTTGTCCTTCTCTTTCTGTAGGGGTGGACTGGATGAACAACATGATGTGGCGTTTTGTGCGTGGTGACGCACGGCCAGCAGAGATCGACATGATTTGGGAGCTCAGTAAGCAAATTGAGGGACACACTATCTGTGCCCTGGGAGATGGTGCGGCATGGCCAGTGCAGGTAACCCCATATACTCTCATAATGCATTTGCATATTTTTAGGATAATTTAAAGAATTAATAAGGAACCGCCTGTGCTAAAGGATACCGCCTTTAGCACAGATTAGCACAGAATTTGACACCCCCAGCCAAGTGACACAAACTGAATATAATAAGCTTCATGAAGGAAAGGTTTATTGCTGGGTTGTTGTATTGGACTGCATTAGATTTAGCTCAGTGTAACTATGAAGAGTAAACACACAACCGCAAACCATAACCTCCAAAAAATGTACTTGAGGTCCTTTATGCCCTGTGTCATTCATTTTTACCCTAAATATTCTCTTCAGGAATTAATGCTTTCACTGATTTTTTTTTTTTTGTTAGGGAAAAAAAACAACTGTTGTTATTCTGCTTTAATTAAATCTAGATTAATTTGCCTTTGTGTTCTCTTTTCTGTGTCCCCAGGGATTGATCAGGCACTTCAGGCCTGTGATGGAAAGCCGAATTGCTGAATACCAGCAGCAGCAGCAGGCCAGGGCTTAAATGGCTCCTTGAACTCCTTGAACTCCTTCTTTTGCCTCATATGCCCTTAACCTCATGCCTGTGTCACTGACAAATTATTTAAAAAGATATGTGCCGTCTTATCACCTCATCATCAAGTTTTACATTGATGTGTCTGCCTTGTCTGATTTACCAATAAAGTTCTATGAACCTTAAATTAGCTTTTTTTTATTTGTAGTCTTTTTGTTGTGTTTTTATGTGTAGAGAAAAGGGGAAAATCATAACTAACATTCATATTTTGTTTTGTCAGTTTTGAAACTGGTAGTTGTTAAAAATTAATTTGAATCATTTGAGCTCCCAAGGTTTATGCAGTGAAAGACTATCATTCAACATTCAGCAGCATAACAAAAGTAGTAAACATTAATTGGTAGAGTTCAAAACAGTCAGGGATTAGCACATATTATGGACATAAATAAAATTCATATAAAACGTTTATAAAATATGCTCTTGTTTTATCATGAGGAGATATTCTTAACATAAAAGTCTTTATTGTTTCAAAATTATATAAATCAAGGTTTCACCTTTTAAAACTTGTATTTCTGCAAAAATGTTTTGACTGAAGCTGAAGGATTGTTTGGTTCATTGTAAACCAACACTGGCGCATTCCAGACAAAGCGCTATTCTAATAATCTCGCGATAACGCCGCCGCCTGCCCACGTCACGTGATGTGGGCATGCCATTCTCGGCGGCTTCGGTTTAGCGGACGAGTCGAACGGTAAGAAATGGTTCCCTCCTTTGAATTGTTTACAAAAACTTAAATCAAATTTAATCGTAATTCCTCACACAGATGCAGCGTTAAAACACACAGGCGTAACACCAAAGGAAGCACAAGGAAATGCAAACTAGAATATTAAAAAAATATATGAGCACAATCATTTCGCTTCTAGTTGTAGCTGTGCATGTCGACTAGCGTCTCTTCCGTCCATCCTTCTGTCAGCGACCTCAGGCCTAACGTCAGCTGTTTTCTTTTTTATTTCATTGCTAGTCTGCCTGACGTATATAAAACACCACCCTCTTCTATTTAACTTTAATTATTTAGCCCAAACATCCAGTTTCTTTGTAAACTGGTTAACTTGACGTTAGCCTGGTCTGTTACTGCTGTGCTCTGCTTTTGTCGGTTCAGCTTTGCATACACCTATGATGCATGTGCAGTGTGTATACTACAGCAATGTGTGCTTATGTTACAGCTCCATGTGGCTGGGTAGTGTGGGAAAGCATCAGCATGGAAATGTTGAAGATAGAGCAAGTCATTGTTGGGAGTGAGATGAGATCCACCTCAGCGGAGATCAAGTCTGAGCCTGTGGTCACCCCTCTGCAGGCCTGTAAGCTAACATTTACTGTATATGCATGATTCATTTATGAATTCTGACTGCTCAGAGTAGGCATGCATTGATGCTCTGCAGTTATGCAGTCTATTCCCACTGTTTCGTTTGAATGAATCTTTTAGCAACTTGTCATCTCCCTGTCATCCAGATCAGCATGAGAGTCTACAATGTTTTCAGTGCTTCATCACCTTCTCTGACACCAAAGCCAAGGAGAGACACATGAGGAAGAGTCATAGAGACCAGTACAAAAAGCAGCTGCAACAGGTAGGGCAAAGCAGACAAAAAAAATGCCAGGTCAGGCTGCTAGTAAACAAACTCAGCAATTCATATGAAATGAAATTCATAATAATACTGATTATTAGGGCTGCTATTGGTGATTATTTTCTTTATAGATTAATGTGAAGAATGTGAATGTTTTGTTGATCAATCATTTGGTTTTTAAAACATGGGGAACACAAATTTTCATAGAGTAAATTAATGTTTTCATTAGTTTGTCCCATCCAACAGTCCAAAACGCAAATACATGTAATTTAGTACCACTGAAAACAAAAGTTAGACATTTTTGCTTGAGAAATGACGAGTGATTTATCCATTATGCATAATGTTACTGGTTCATTTTCTGTGGACTACGGATCAGTTAATCAACTAATTGTTTCAGCTCTTGTGATGACTTTTCGGTGAACTGCAAGTTAACTATGAAGTGTGATGCTATAAGGATTAGAGCCCAACCATGGTTGATGATGATAATGATTTTTGTACATAACATCATTCTGTATGAGAATGGAGATGTAAAGTAAAAAGAAAATTACCTTTCGTCCTTCTTAAAAAACACACACAAAACAGTGAATCATGTCTTGAGTCTGTATTTCACTATTTTGAACAAAGTTTCTGCTCATTATTTTGCAGACTGATACAGTCTTTACTTGTTACAAGTGTGACAAGTGCTTCTCTGCCTCTGAGGACCTCAGCGAGCACCAGGCCTCCCACAGCACAGAGGAGAAGCCCTTCCGCTGCCCTTACTGTCGGAAAAGCTTCTTTACCTTCACTGAGGTGAGGGCACAGCAGGCTACACGTGAGCCTATTTTTTGTGCTGTCTTGTATAGTTTATAGTTTAGTTTGCTTTAAAAATGATAAAACAATTGTTTGTTGTCTTTGATGAGTGTTTAATGTCTCAATGCAGCTGAACAAACACAGACGACATGAATGCATAGAACGACGGTGTCCCTGTAGGGACTGTGGCGCCTTGTTCCCCAGTCCTTCACGACTTCGCAGCCATCGCATTGCAGTGCACCCCCAGCGGCCTGTAGTGGCTGATGACATCAACACCTACCAATGCTGCAAATGTGGTAGTGGTTTCCAGACAGAAGAAGAGCTCCTGCAGCACCAGGAGAGATTCGCTAGTGATATAAACTGTGAAATTAAGCTGCAAGGGAAAAAACGCGGCAGAAAACCCAAGTATGAAGCTCAAGGAGGGATCGTTGACTGCAAGAAGATCAAACATGAAGCGGAAGCAGGGGGATGCAAAGGATATGATGACTCTCTGACAGAGGGATGCCCCTCCAATGAGCTGCAACCAGAGCTTAAGATCCCTTGTCCCGAAGCAAATTGTGACCTCATATTCCCTTCTGTTGCAGCCCTGCGGGCACACAAGAAGGAGGCACATGGGCTTCCCCCTCGCAAGGTTCATGCCTGCACAGATTGTAATGAGAGCTATGCTCGGCCTGATCAGCTCAGAGCACACATGGCCAGGGCTCACCGCTCTGGATACACCTGCCCCACCTGTGGAAAGAGCTTTGCTCGAGAGAGTGTCCTAAAGGTCCACCAGAACACCCACACTGAGGGAGAGAATGTAGCAGAAAAAAGATAATATATGGGGAAAAGACTGCAACTTCACCCTCCCAAATGATTGTCAGAGTATTTCTTACCATATTCTGTTGAGTGTCGGAAGAAGATATTTTAGGGTGAGAGCTTTTGAAACAAGGTTATGCAACACAGTTGGATTAAGAAGGTTGTTTCTGGAGTGTTGTTTTTAATTGCTGTTAGAAGGACAACCTACTCTTGTAAATAAATCTCTGTACATAATTTGGATTTATGTCAAATCGTCATCACAAGGCCCTTTTTGCTGCCCATATTACCTCTGTTGTACCTGAAATGTTTTATATTCACTGTAGAGAAACTAGCTAATTCTCCCTCAAGTGTGGGAGTGTTTTGTATTTAACTGTATTATTTTATTTTCAGAAAAAGTCTTAAGTCTAAGGTGACAATTATACGGAGAATGTACAGTCAGTCCTAAACATAATGAAATCCAAAATCTGATAAATGGGCCAGTGTATAGGATTCTGTACTATGAGACTTGATGTAATCTCTGGGTCTTATTTTTCTTCCGAAAAGTAAATAATTGTTGCATTAAACAATACTTACATTTCTGTGGTGTTTTTGTCTGTCACTTTGTGTGAGTGTCCGTGTGTGTGAATGGGTTATAAGATGCTTATGTCATTTTTTAAAGCAGTATACTGTAGATATACTAACACTGCTACCACTGAATATACTGTATTTAGAGTACTACTTAGCATGTCATACATATGACTCAGAAGAAAAATATCTGACTAAAACTATAAAATTCATTTTTTTTAAATTCTCTTTTAATTTGAGAAAGGGCATAACTAGTTGTCTGTCACTGATCTCAATACCTACTATGTATTAAGCTACACATTTTCATTATTATTATTCATTATTATTCACAGCAATGATTATCAATGATTTTTGCCTATACTATCCAAACTAAATGTAAACTCTTATTTTTACATTTTTGGCTGCTGCTCAGAGAAAGAAAGAAGCAATCAGAATATGTTAACTTGGGCTTCAGGGAACAATGATGGACATTTTGCACAATTTTCTAACATTTTATACACTGATCATTCAGTCACTTATTGCAAAAATAATTATTGGCCATATTGATGAAAATTATTGTTGGTTGCAACTTCATCGGATTTCTGTGTGTCACTTAACAGACAGAAATCAGTTTGATAAAACAACAAAACAACAAATGAGCAAAATATACTATAAATGAGCCACAGATGGATAATAAAGGACATTGCTGACATTGTATTGTAACGGTGCAAGTTTCTAACAAATTAGTAATTAATCAAAAATGAGGGTTTTGGGGCTCCTGGAGGTCTGGAAAGCTGCTCTACACAAGCGAAGTCGCCCAGTGTGTTGAACTGGGGTCGCCCTCGGCCGGCGAAGTTCGTTTTCCCATGATTCCTCTGTGGTTCCTTTCTATCTCGCGCCTTTGCCTCAGAGCGGTCCATCTTGCCTCCCATATCGCTGCAGTCTCCCTCCGCCAGCGCGCCGTCCGTGTTGTTGTAGTAAATAATGGCGGCATCGGGAGGCGGATTATCATCTCCCGCCACCGTCGCGGGCTTGAGCACCCAAGCGCCGGCCCGGGCTCGCTTCCCGGGCCGGCCGTGCACGGCTCGCAGCAGGCTGCGGTCGGAGAAACGTACCAGACGCGGAAGGTTGGGCTCGGACAACGGGGAGCTGGCTGCCGGAGGGCCGAGGCCCGTAAACATCGGGCTCGCGTTGAGCGAGGATCCGTCCCTGCTGCGCCTTCTCGGTGTGGCGGAGAAGCACAGGCGCCAGAAAGATGCGGGGTTCGACTCCAGCAACAGTGAGGAGGTGAATAAGCTAACCATAGCATGTCAGCTGGATTGGTAACAATGCGGCTAATGGGGCATATAAAGACAGTTTGTCTAAAATAACGACATTTAAAAGAATTTGTTTTGCTATTCCCTAAAAGTATTTAAGCTAACGTAGAGCTAGTTAGCGGTAACTTAGCTTGCAAACACTACCCCAAATAAGCGTTGCAGCTAGCTGTTTGCCTGCAGGGGATGCTTAAGAGAGGTTGATGGGTGAACATTTACAGTGTGTTTGCTTCTGCAGGTAATAGGAATTCATTGTCTGTTTTGAAAATGCTATAAGTTGCAACAGCCATACATACACGGAGATCAGTGTCTGTCCAGCTGAGTTTGCTGAAAAGGGCATTAGGCGGAAAGTTTAGCGGTATTGTGATAGCCACGGGTGCGTTTTGTTGTGGAAACCATGAGATGTCTTTGTTTGTTCATCCACCTGACAAAATTTGGTCAGTTGAAGTTCCCACCTAGTGTTGACATCCACATGCTGCTAATCTGGTCGTAGACAAAACGTCGTTGCTGATAACTTGAGGACAGTACTCTCAGCGTCGGAGCTGTCAGCTGACCGCTCGGTGTTTTGAACTTCAGCTCAACGTGGGGTACAACGGGACGAGCCAGGACCGTTACCAAGGCATTATAATCACAAAGCTGAATTTCGATCATACTCCGAGAAATCTTGTCCTGTACCCTTTTTTGCATGGTCCATGTCAACAAACATTAATCACTCCCATTCATTACTGAAGATGATATAAAGATTAAGGTAATCAGGAAACATGTTCTACCCTTTTTAGTCAAACGTATGGGGTCAGTCCAATTCAAAGAAAAAGTAAATTTCCCTGTTAATGCTATGCATAATGCAACACAATTCCTGAATTCAGTTTGTTTGCAAGTTATTGCAAGTGTCATTGTACCTGCAGGTATAATAGATTGTCATACATGATTTCAAGTCTTGTTGATTGTGTTGTGTGAGAGTATTGGAGTGATTTAGACCTAGGTGACAGTTACACTTTTACATAACTTTTATTTTACTTTGATTTGAATATTCAAATGACAAAAGACTAGAAATGCTGGCAAAAGTCAAAACAATGTGGAATAATACATTTTATGTATTTGCTTAAGCACAATATGAGAGTTCAGCCTCTTGCTTTTTGCACAGCTTTGCTCTCTTTGTAGTTAGTTGTAAAAGCTAGAATCTAGTGCTTCAAATTATTAATATTTTAATTAGTGATTAATCGTTGATTCTTTGAAATATCAGAATAGTGAAGGAAAGCCCATAACAAGTTCCCAGAGTCTTCAGATTTGCTTATTTTGTCTAATCAACAGTGCAAAGGGCCAACAGGCTTCATTTTAATAAAGGTACCAGATGTTGACCTTTGGAACCAGAAAATTTTTGACATTGTCGCTTGATGAATAACTTGTGTCGATTCACCAATCATTGTTGCAATCATTCATAATATAACTCATATTATACTGCAAAAAGAGAGGATTCAGATCTGTCAATATGCTTTCATATTTTTTGTTCATAGAAGCCATAGTGTGATGTATCATTCACTTCTAAGGTGGTTTACTTTTAGCACCAGCTACGCAGGTGGTTGGTGATAATGATATAATTCCAAATTGGATCTAATAATATTATTTAATCTCCAGCGCAGAGTCTGACATCAGTCAGACTTCACTGATGCAATCCCTTTAGTATGGACTGTAACAGAGTCACATGGCTGACGCTAGAGCTTGTGGGTGATGCTCAACTGTCACTTAATGCCACACAATCACTTGCTCTGCAGTGCTATGGAACAGATTTCATTAGGGGAATTTCATCTGACAAATTTACAGAGTCCCTATTTTGTGTGTGAAGATGGATGTGAGTAATTGAAAATCAAGTTGAAGTGTGATTTTGATATGCTGTAGTGGGCAGTCTTTGCATCTGAGATAGACGGGTGCTTGAATTAGAGGATGCTGGAGGCTGAGTGTGTTTCAAAGGTTCTTCATAAACTTTGGTAGTAATCGATTTGACAAAATTTTTTATAAGTGGCCATATTGAAATGTTGAAGAGGAGAATTACGCTAAAATGTGCAATTTCTTAATTTCACTAAACATCTCAAGCACTACATTACTGTTGGATAGTGGATTATTTAACCGTATTAAAATGATTGTATCTTACTGAAAAAAATTACACATGTAGAGAGATGGTGCACAGGTAGAAAATCTGTCCAAAACATCCAAATATTTTGTTACAATCATTTAATTGTTGTACTTTTTCTTCAGGAGGAAGATTTCACTGGATTTGGGACCACAACCGTTCGTCCACAGAAAACTTCTGGCACTGTTCCTCGGTCTTTGTCACTCAGCCATTCTACAGGAACAAAGTCTCTCATTGGAAAAATTTTACCCAAGTCCCCAAAACCAGCTCTGATTGGGAAAATTGTACCAAGGGCTCCTAAAGAAGGCCAGGGTGCCAAAGAGAGCCCAGTAGAAGACAAAGAAATACCCAAGGTGGTAATTAAACTGCATGGCAAGCAGGTAGGTCTCACTGCAAAAGCCAAACATGCAGATGAGCAGGCCTCAGGTAGACAGAGCAGTAAAAAATCAGTTGACTTTGTAAAGAAAGCAGGAGAAACAGCCGACTCAGGCAACTCGCAAAACCAAACAGCCGCTACCTCAGCTGGTGGCACTAAGCAAAATAAGCTGGTGAGCACTGTGACAGCAGTCAAGGGCACAGAAAAAGCTTCCAAGGTCAAAGAACAAGGTGAGGTGTCAGAGGACTCAGACACAGACCAATCCCAGCCACAGAGCTCTGTGAAACAAATGAAGAGATTTCGATTTGGGCACACAAGGCGCACATCTCAAGCAGTCGCTCTGTCATTTACATCCTTTCACAAACGGCAGAAGAAGAGAATGGCTAAGGGTATGGGTGCCTCTCCTGAGGCTGGAGCTGAGGCCGGCGCTCAGAGTGGAGAGGAGGCAGCGATGCCCCTCGAGTGTAAAGCTGAAGTTTCCTCTGAGAAACGAACAAACAAAAGACCACGCAGGTCTTTGTTTGGGCACAGGCGAAAGGCTAAACCAACTATTAGACGTCCAAAGCTGGGCCGTACTCGCACTAGGCGAGTTTTTTACACCTATATAACTGAGCCCGTTCCAGCCACACCGACGCAGGACGGGAACGAGCAGCAACTGCAAGGTCAAAATATCACACCATCAGAAGGTGAACCCAGCTCATTTTCTGAACAAGTCCAGCAGAGCTCCAACTCCTCGACTCCTGTAATGAGCGCACGGTCCTCCCGCGTTATTAAAGCTCCGAAGAGGTTCTTGGACGAGGAAATGATTCCCTTTCCAAAGGGCCCTCTGTCAACATGGCTGAAGAGTCAACAGAGAGAGGATGGAAAAGCGAGTGCATCACATCCTGAGTTAGGTTATGATGGCAACTCATTACAGTCAGACAGTGACTCTTTATCTGCTTTTGACAGCCCATCTGCTGTGCCGAAGTTTTCATCAAAGCCCAGTCCAGGCACGAGCCACCTGGAGATCTACAAGAACCTCAAAAAACTGACCTTGAAACTGGCGGAAAAAAAGAAAGGCCAGCCCGACACTCAAGGGGATTATACACATCATGGTGACGGCTTGACCTCTCATGTCAGGAAGAGGAGGAGGTCAAAGCTTATGATGGAGGAGATGGAGTCTCC